TCAAAGAACTGTGCTAAATTCTGCAACAAGTGTAAGTGTGTCTAAAGAGTCAAAATTTATTATGCAAACTTTGAATGGGAACGTTTGATTTGTAAGATATAACTTCCTAGTCTATTTACATTTCTTTTTATGACAAGTTTGTGTGTTCTAAAAGGTAAAATTTCCAAGTAATGTGTTACAAATCTGCAAATGAGTAAAATTGTTCATTTTAATTCTTTTCATTTTTCAACTGACGGAAAAATATTGATTGCTTGACAACACACTTCACAAAAACCAAAAAAATAGTTTAAATACCAGTAAAGGTATAGGGGTAACCGATACCATGATTGGAATGTTTAATATTATTTTATTTGATAAAAAGAAAAGGAATTCAAAATTTCATTTAAGATTCTATTCGAATCATTATAAATCTAATAATAATAATAATTTGCAGTTACAAAAAAACATGCAATCATCATTCCAATGTAGACCATTTTTCTCTTTAATATGCTTTTGTTTACCCCTAACCAATCCCCCAAAAAAATAGATTCCAAAAGATTATTTTCCTGGTTTATAAATCTACATGTATACCGGAAATAATTTTTTTTTCTAAATTAATTTTTGCATCCTTTTCATATTTTTAGGTGGAATGACAGGTATGAAAATCAAGATTATCTATGAGATAGATTTTATAAAGAATTATAAACTGGGCAAATTTATTAAATTACCTGAGCTTAAAATTTTTTATCTTAGATCTTTTAAAATACTTTTTAAAAAAGAAATATGACAAGTGCGTTTTTTGAGTGCTACTTTTATTTTGATAGTTAATAATATTATTTCAATGAATATTTTAATAGCGATATTTGAAGGTGAACTGGAAAAATTAAGTTTTTTTTTCAAACAAAAAATGACCGTCACAAATTTTATGTTTGATTTTCAGGTACAATGACTGGAACAGGTAAATAAAAAAAAAATTCGGGATAGAGATTGTGCACTAACTTTAGTTTTCATGGAACATTTAAAAAAAATATCTTTTAAAAACTGCTTTTAGGGTAAATGCATAACAAACTTAAAAAAAAAATTAAAAACCTTATTAGAAGATCTAAGTAATTTGTTTACCTACTGTATCTCTCAGACGTAGTCAAACAAAATGACCGTCACATATTTTTTGTTTGATTTTCAGGTGGAACTATGACTGGAACAGGTAATTTCTTTTTTATTCCGTCTAATGATGTATAATAACTTTAGTCACCATGAAACATAAAAAAAAAATATTTTTAAGAATACTTTTAGGGAAAGTGTATCCCAAAGTTTAGAAAAAACCTATCTTATCAGAAGATCTGAGAAATTTGCACAATTTACCATCAGACCTATTTATTTATTTAAAAAATGGCCATCACAGGTGAATTCTTTTTTTCTTTAAATTTATTCGGTCTAAGTTTTAGAGTAAAGGTCTTCTAATTCTAAAAGCAATATAAAAATTGTTTTGTGAAACAGAAAAAAACTTACTATGATTTGTTTAAGTTGAATTTTGAAGCTGTTTTCAAAATATAATTGATCGAATTTTTAAGCTTTAAAACTCTTTCATGCAGAAAACCCTATTAATTATGACTAATAAACGTCTGGAGATGCTCAGTAGAGGTTTAAATTTAAAGGTTTATTTGTAACATTAGGTACATGTATATCTTCTTACTCTTTCGGTAATATTTCAAGAAGGGGGATATTGTAAAATGTACATAAGGTTGTTTTGAATTTTGTAAGATTTCTACATTTACTTTAATTTGAGTAATAGATTCATGACGATTATTAATTAAAAACTTTAATTTAACAATAAATGCTTTTATGTTTATAATTTAGGTGGAACAATGACTGGTACAGGTAATTTCTCTCAAACTTATCTTTCCTTTTCAAAAAATAAACATTCATGTTTTCTGAAACTCATGTCTTGTAAGCAAGTTTTCAGGTTATATTTTTCAAAATGCATATGTCTCTTCTCTGGTTTTTATGAACTTTAAACAGTTTTTACCAAAGATCATGCGTTGACAAATTATCAGGAGAGGACTATCTAAGTTTCTGAACTTGTGTCTGATCCTTTTGACTTTGTCAATAAAATATGTTCAATTCATTATCACTGTACATTTTCTCAATTAAAAGAAAAACCGTAATCTTTATATGGCGTTACTCGAAATCATCAGCATTTTCATATGATTTAGATTCAGCATTACATATACCTAATCAAATAATGAGATTGAAATAATTATTCATCCTTAAAACTTTGTCCAGTTTACTCGTTGTTTATACTGAATGGTGCTTTGTGCCCATTTTTTCACTAAGCTAAAACAAGAATAGAACTTTCTCTAAAATAAAAACAAGATTGACTTAAACTTCTTACAGAAAATAACATTTAATCAATATCGCACACATAGCTTTTGGCGTTGTGTATCAAGGCTTGTTTTTTCGGTGGTCTTTATGTTTGCTTTGCTTGCTTTAATTTTGCAACAGGATCATGTGTTGACAAATTGAATTGCGCATCAATGGGGTCAGCTATTTGCACCAATTCTGCCTATGCCGCTTTTGCACGTGAACAATGTCCCCAGTACTGTCATATGTGTTCATCAGGTAGGGACATTGAACATATTTTAAATAACAATGACTGATTGTTTTCAAGCATGCAATCAACAATAATCAAATGAATTCTTTTAAAACCTTTCCTTTCTGTTTTCAATTTGCTTGCATCTGATATCTCAACGTGTATACACTTTTTAATCTAAAGACGTCGTCATAAATGTTGCAATGCTTTGTTGTATATTTTTTTTTATTAAAATATACATTAAATGACCATTCCTGAAATATACGTATTGCATTATGATCAATCCGTTACTATCTTTACAGCTACTAGTACTATTCTCATAACTTATTTGCTTTTTCCATCCATCGTACATTTGCAACAATTTGCTTTGCTTTTGGTCTTTATAAATTAACAACTAATTTGTGAATACTTCTTACATACATGCATTATATTGTAGAGATGTTTGTCTGCCAACTGTTTTGCTTGATTCCTATTTTTATCTGGCGGATTCACAGCGTTTTTCGTCATTTATTATTTTTTGTACAATCCTTCAAAAGAATTGAATTTAACATGGGTATTTTTTGCACATTTTAATTCTTTGTGCAACTGATGCAAGATCTTATTTTCATTCTTTGTATAAAAATATGAACGAAATTCACCCTAAAATGATTATCATTCAAAAACACAATATTTACACAGGACATTTTATTATTTTCATTTAATATTTAGGTGGAACAATGACTGGCACAGGAACAGGTAATTTTGCAATTGTTTCTATTGAATTTTTTTTAAGTCTGTCCTCCAATCAATATCTATTACATGGATTGTAGTCATTATTATAATTTAAGTATCATTTCCTATGTTTGATATCCAGGTGTACCTATGACGGGTACTGGAGCAGGTAATCCTTATGCTGGCTTTTCTTCCCAGGCTTGTTTTTTCTTTTGATTGAGCTAAAATCTTACGGAAAATCGAGACACTCATTACCTATAAACCTAACTAGTAGTATTCATAATGTTTAACACAAAATTTAGAACCTTATCCCTTTTTTAAAATTAAGGTGGAACTATGACTGGTACAGGTAATTCTTATGCTGGTTTTTCTCTCAGGGCTTCTTTTCTTTTTATTGAGCTAAAATCTTACGGAAAATCGAGACACTCATTACCTATAAACCTAACTAGTAGTATTTATAATGTTTAGGACAAAATTTAAAACCCTATCTTTTTTTTTTAAATTAAGGTGGAACTATGACTGGTACAGGTAATTCTTTTGCTGGATTTTCTCTCGAGACTTTCTTCTCTTTATTGAGCTAAAATCCTAACGGAAAATCGAGACACCCATTACCCGAGTACCTAACTAGAAGTATTTTAAATGTTTAAGACAAAATTTAGAACTTTATCCTTTTTAAATTAAGGTGGAACTATGACTTATTATTTGATACAGGATAGATTGGTTATCATTTTGTTAAGTAACGGTTCGATAGAAAAAAATATGATTATGTAGATACGACCATCATTGGTTAGGATTGAAAAATAAGGTTATTGATTTAACATAAATAAGAGATAGCTTGAAGTGGATCATTATTAAAACAACTATTTCTATAGTTTAATAAATGTTATTGAAAATTCAGGTTCTGGTGGAACAGGTATGTCGTAGCCTATGACTTAGCATATGCCAAAAAGCTCCAAAACTTTCATTATTGATTCAAATTGTAAATTTTATGAATGCTTTGTTAACATATGCATAGATTTAAATTTTTCGCGCTCCATTTAATATAAACATATATCTATAAAAAATGTAAATAAATCCAACGGTGTCAAAGGCTGCAAGAATATAAATTGTCTTGGAAGAAAGAGAAATTCTACATTTATTTTGCCAACACTTCTTTCAGACGTATATCCCGTTCCCGTGCTTCCAGGTAAAGTCAAAATCGTCAAAATATCCTATCTTGACGTCTTAAGTCCGTTATATGCTGAAGTTCTGTTAAACACAAACATTTTTCAAATTTGTCAGCACTATTGATAAGCATATATCTTGCTCACACATTACTTGGGAAATAAAAAAATGCATTAAAGGCCTCAAGATCTGTAAATGAATGAAGAGAGAAAATTGTCTTTTTCAAATGCTTTTTGGTAATAAAAGGCTTGCTTGGTTAAGTTTTATTATATTCTGAGTAAAAGCTTAGCTTAACGAATATTTTTTAGAAAGAAATCCAATCGAAATGCTTAATAAAGCTTGATTATCGGAAGGGGGAATAGCTTTTATATTAAATTGTTCTATTTGACAGACTTTTAAATAAGTAATATGACAAAGAAAATCGTTTTAAAGAAAGGAATAAATAAATTTTGTTTGATTCTTATATATCTAAAAAAGAAATACAAATATATCACATTTATCGCACAATGGTAAATCGTTACTGTACATTTTTAGGTGGATCGATGACAGGAACAGGTATATCAATTTGAAAGTGAAAATCGCTTGGAAATCGCTTAATAATTGAGCTTTGATAGCAGATATGAAATTCGAACGTTCGTTATGTGTTCCAAAAAAATATTGTGTCTGGTTTTTTTTTCATTATTCCTCGATATGAAGTGAAGTGAAACTTTCAATTAAACCCATCCTTTAATTCTAAAACTCGATTTAAACTGATACAGCTAGGTCCTTTTTTCAGATAATGTGAATCATTCAATTTATTTGATTTTTGTTTTAGAATTTCCCCTATAAATAATCAAAACTCTTACCTTTCGAGTCTGTCAGCGATGTTTGCATGATCTGCTCGATTTTTAAACGACCAAATACACTTTATTTATAGATGTCATATTACAAAACGGTTTGCAGGTGTACAAAGCAAAACGAAATTTTACAAGGAATTTGTTTAAAATTCAATTAAAAAAAATTGTTTTTGTGCTTAACGATTATAATCTTTATTATTATTTTTTGACGAAGTTTCAAAACACAATTGCATTTGGTTTGCTTGCTTTTCTTAAGTACTTTATAGTAATTTTTCGCTCCTTTCTTTGACCATTTCTGTTTAATAACATTAATTTTGAATCTTAATCTCTGTCAATGACAAAACTCATTTACAGGAGGGTCGGGTGTGTATACTGGAACAGGAGGGACTGGGGGTACAGGTAAACATAAGTGATACCTAAACCTCTAATTCAAATTTTCTAAAGTCTCTAAGTCCTACACCTGATTAAAAATTAAAAGAAATAAAATCCTGCAATAAATCTTTAATACTGCATTTCAGATGGAAGTGGAGCAGGTATATTTTGCAATTATCGCTTGGAAAATGCTTGAGGGATTTTTTTTTACCGTATTCCTTTAGCTATTAAGTCTGTTTCGTTTTTGCGTAAAATTTCTAAGCTTTCTTACATGTGACGTCACAGCAGAAGTGACGCCTTTTTAAAAAATCAACTTAAATCCAACTTTAAAAGGTGTCCAGTTGTGAAAGTTTTAATTCATAAATGTATAAATTACTGTTTTCAGGCGGTTTTGGTGTTCCTGGTGGATCAGGTAAATCAAAACCATCAAACAATCCTTATTTCAAAAATATCTCAAAACTTTCACAAAAACTTGCTGATTCTTTAAAAATAAATCTTGTACAAAGGATTAAGATTATGTTTCGACATCTAATTTGTGGAGCTATTTTATTACCTTTTTCACTAAAATTTAATTATTCTAATTTAAATTCATTCAATAACAAAACTCATTTTCATTAGGGTCGGGTGTATATACTGGAACAGGAGGGACAGGGGGTACAGGTAAAAATAAGTAAAACCTAAACCTCTAACTTAAATGATCTAAAGTCTAATTCCTACACCGAATTTTCCTTATAGAAATTTATTTCTGCAAAGAGCTTATTATTCAAAACTGTATTTTTAGATGGAAGTGGAACAGGTATATTTTGCAATTATCTCCTGGCAAATGCTTGAGGGATTTCTTTTTACCGTATATATTAAGTCACAGCGGAAGTGACGCTTTCATGAAATCAAGTTCAAAAGATTTACAAATGTGAATTTTTTAATTCATAAATTTTAAATATATATTAAATATATTTTATGACCATTTCCAGTAATAAAAACAAAGTATCGAAAAATATGAATAAAGAATTTTATTTCATTTTGTTAAAAAATGGTCCCCTTACTGTTTTCAGGCGGTTTTGTTGTTCCTGGTGGAGCAGGTAAATCAAAACCATCAAACGAACCTTATTTCAAAAATATCTCAAAACTTTCACAAAAACTTGCTGATTTTTTAAATAAATTTTATAAAGGGTTAAATTATTTTTCAATATATACAATTTTTGTAGATATTTTATGACCTTTTTGATCAAGATATAACTATTTTGAATTTAAAATTCATTCAATAACAAAACTTAATTTCATTAGGGACGGGAGTGTATACTGGACCAGGAGGGACAGGGGGTACAGGTAAATAAGTAATTCCGAAACCTGTATTTTTAAATCCTCTAAAATCTAATTCTTACTTTAACCGAAAAAAACTTTTAAATTCTTTTGTAAATTAAGTACAAAAATCCAAAAACAAAAAAATATAGATTTTATAAGAATACTTCAGTTTTTAACTTAATTTTAGGTGGAACTGGAACAGGTTTTTATAAGCATATTATTATCGCTTGAACAAAAGCTTGATTTTAGTTAAATACGATAAGTCCGTTATGCTTTTGTTTAAAATATATAAATTTTGGCCTGACTCAAGTTGTTATTTTTGAAATACTTCTTTCTTGCATAAGTAGTATTATGGATAAGTTTACATAATGGAAAGTGCTGATTTAGATGATTTAGTTGTCAAATATTTTAAGTGATTTTTTTAATTCAAGATTTCACATGAACTTTCATTTAAATTTTATTTTAAATAAACTAAGAATAACGAATACTAAAATTAATAACCGTTGCATTTTGCATTCTTTCCTGCTTGGTCAAAATACTCGAGGTTTAATTCCGAATTCATTTTCATTAAACTAATCTCTATCACCCAACTACTCCACCACACTCCAAAAATCCTGCTTCAAGCTTTTAAATATTTATTTGAAATTTTCATAACCGATTGAATCGATTGTTCATTTTTTGGCAAAGGAAAGATTTTTTGCAGGTAGTACTGTTATTTCTTGGGGGATCAGGTAAATATAAAAGCAACTCAAATCCACCATCATCCCCTTATCTTTACCAACACAAATTGATCTACATGTATATTAAAATTCTTATCTTGGACTTCTCGGATTCATGTCGGTAACATTCTCACTAGTTTAGAGTCTGTGTTTGAACGTTGCCTGGGTAGTAGGTTCTGCTTAAATTAGAAAACATGAGCAATTGATTGGTCAACATTCAGTAATGAGTATATGAGTGTCTGCCTTTGGAGGAGATTAACCTTTTTTCTAGAGGTTTTTTATAGAGTCAGAAGTTTGTGTTTTTATTGTATTATTTGATTGCTTTGCCTCACATAGGCCTTTGCACTTTATATGATTTACTGCTTATTCCGCAAATATACAACAAATATAAAATAAATCATGAGGCCAACATTATAGACCCTAAAAAGGATAAGAGCTTTGCTACATTTTCAAAAAAAGATGAAGGTGCAATACCAATGCCACTGCTTTCAACACTTTTTTGGAACAGTTGAGGAAAGTGCAAGAGTGGATATTTTCTCTAAAATTTGTCTTATCAAAAATATAACAAAATGCAAAAAAATGTACATTTTTAAAATGAATAATTCATATGATTATTTCTTTCAGGAGGAACAATGACCGGAGGAACAGGTACGACATGAATTAACTTGGTTGGAAATTGACGTTATAAATTAGCTTAATTAATAAGATCATTTAATCTAGTTTCAAAAATAAAGAATTGACATCATAAAATTCAAAACATGGATGCTTTGAAATTATATGTGATATAATTGGTACAAAATTTGCACAAATTTCAACTTATTAATTTTGTTTATTCCTTTCACCAGGAACCATGACTGGGGGAACAGGTAAGAAGTTAATGACGTCACTTAATTAATTAAAATTTTTTTAATCAAAATAATAAGTTTGTGTAATGAATATGTTCACATAATTAAAGCCATATATGGCGTAACTGATCAAAAAATATACTTTTGAAAAATACAAAATTAAGTAAAGAAATATAGTTAATACATTTAAATCAAAACTTTTCATACAATTCTGAACACGGAGAACACCTCGTTTCAACTAATAATACGATTTTATCTTCTCTGTAATGTGCTATTTAAACCTTTTGTATTTTCTTCCGAGTCGGAGAAAATTCCGAGAATCCAAATTAAATTGTGATATCTTTATAACGCAATTGACTTAGATTTTGTAATTTACGGAAAAGATCTATCTTTATATAAAGTAATGATAGAAATAATAAGTTATTATAAATTTAGTCTAAAAACTTTCATTATACATACGCCATATATGGCTTTAAGTATAAAACCTATAGCCATGGGAGATGGCATATGAAATGAAGAATTATAAAAAGAAATAATATCATTTAGAGATTTTAAAATCGGTTTGTTTTGAACTTGCATGTTATATGAATAGTTTAGGTACTGATATTCTTCACTTGTTGAACATTGATTACTCCTTTAATCAGGAACCATGACTGGTAAGAATTAAATCCTCTTATTCCCTATGCCAAGAACTATGCTTCTCTCTGGATTGAGAACACATATCAACAAATTCGCACAAAATTGAATTCTTGTTAAACAAGAGTTGTTCTGCTGCGTCTTTGATAGTTTTCTCTGCAAATTTCCTTGCTTATGGTTTGCACACTGCTTCAAAATCAGCAATTCCTTTGAGTTACGCTCATAAGTTATGAAAAAACTTTCTTATGATATACAATCGATATGTTTTTGTTATAAATGATTTTTGTAATGTAAACTTGACTTCTTTTTTCAAAATTTCTCCAATATACTCACATCAGTATGGAAAGAATATTCAATTTATATAGAAGGCCTGCATACATTTTGTTAGATTGACCCAAATACTGATGAGTTAGATTAACCAGTAGCAATGAGAGCGAATTATAAAGAAATACATGTACTGTAAAATCATATATTTTTGTGGGGTCAAATTTTCGTGGTTTGAAGAAAAACTCCTGGTTCGTAGGTATTTGAGTTCGTAGATTAAAATGTTTAGTAGTTATGTTTGTAACATTTTACATTTCGTGGGTCTCCTCAAAAACAACGAAAATTAAACCCCATGAAATTTTTGTGATTTCACAGTTATGACAGGATTTGGTCCTTTGGAAATACTAATATTCTTCTTAAATTTCTGAACATTTGGCCACAGTAAAGGCCACTTTAATGATCTACTTTTCGGGCCTATATTGTCAAAAGTAAACTTTAATTTGTTATTCTGTAGATTTTTATTGATTGAACAAAATTTGAAGAAAATTAAACAAATGAATTTGTCAAACAGATTCATTTCTTAGTGAGAAACTCTTTTTCTAATCACCTAGATAATTTTACATGCTTAATTCTATATTTCCATTCAAAGTTCAAAACAAGAAATTATTGTTGCTTTTTTATTTGTCTTGCTTGAAAAGCTTCTTTACATGTTTGTGTTTCTTTTGTTTGTTGCATTGTTGTTGCCTTGCTTATACAGGATACTGCGCAGATAAAGTGAATTGTGTCCAGTATGGAACTAGCTTTTGTACAAACCCTGCTTATTCCGCTTTTGCTCATGACAGCTGTCCCAAACATTGCAATTTATGTTCCAGTAGTGGTACAAATGGTAAGAATATGTAATCCCCAACCAAAATGCATTTAAATGAATAAAATTCAATTTTCAAAATCAGGATTGACAGTGTATTAAGGTTTAATCTTATCTTTTTTTCGTAAATGAGTCAAATACAACTCCCGTTTGGTATGAATTTCATATCAAAGTATGAAAAAAATGAAAATTTTGAAATGTACTCCATCAAAATTTTCTTTATTGAAGCAAATGTCATTAACCTTTTTCAGGTAATGGAATGACAGGTAAAATTTTTTTTTTTAAATAATTTTTTCATATCATGTCCTTTTTATGGGTTATATTTAAATGAATGGCTGAGTAATTTATCACCAATATTTTATCTCTGATATGAAAGAAATGTCCTGAAAAAAGTAAAATGTCATCTGACACTTTTTTATATGAAAATTGTCTTAAAAACGACAGGGATTTTTAAAAACAACAACAAACAATTAATTAATTAGGAATGTGTGCTGATAAACTCAACAACTGCGCTAGCTACGGCAAAGCTGTCTGTACCGACGCTACTTATGCTGGTTGGGTCAAGGAGAACTGCCCAGCTTACTGCGGACAGTGTGGCACTATGACCAGCGGAGGAACAATGACCGGCGGCGGCACAATGACTGGAGGTGCCGGTGGTGTTTACTATCCCTCCGGAGGCGGAATGACCGGAACTGGAACTGGTGGTACAATGACCGGAACTGGTGGTGGAATGACTGGAACTGGTGGTGGAATGACTGGAACAGGATCCGGTGGAACTATAACACATACATCTACAGGTACCGGTAGATTACAAGCCTTTCAGACGAGCAAATAACAGATTAGAACATCATTATGGAATATCAAAAAGTCTCTCTATACCGTAACCTGAACCTTTGTCTACCGAAATGTCTTATCATACCTCCGCTTGAAAGGTGGGGAATATGTACTACATAGTTGTAGGGTGTGTCTGTAATGTCTGTAAAACTTCCAATTAAGGGGTATCCATCCCTTATATGCAACTTCTGTGCCGCAATGAAATTAAATGAGACTTTCTGTATTTCGTACATACTGCCATTTTGTAGATCCTTTATTTAAATTTCGATCGGACACATATTTTGGGGTGTTCATGGCAAAACATAAACACAGCCATTTGTTCCATATTACAGGGATTCCCATTTTTTAATATCCGCGATTCCTACTTATCCACTGAATGAAATTTGGTATAATTTTCACAGACTGAATCTTTATTACGTAGTGTAATCTGCACTCCTATTTAGAGTTGTAATTTTCTGGTATATTTTGGGTTTCCGAACAAAATTTAGAGGAAATACTAGTATGTTTTTTTAGCCCACTGTTCAAATTATCGCAATTTGTTATCTGAACGATGTTACTTTTCTCTAAATGTTTGCACTATTTTCAGGTTGTGTATACAAGGGTCAGGTTTACCAACAAGGACAAAGCTGGAAGGATGGGTGTACCTACAGATGCACGTGTGCTGATGCCACCACAGGAAAATACACGTGCACAGGACTGTAAGTTTGAAATGCAGATATGTTAGATTTGGTTTAATGAAAACCTCTCTCTCTTTCTCTCTCTCAAAATTTTATTTATTTCATCACTGATAGCGAAAGTGCTTGACCTGCCGATAGTTTAACTAATATTTGAACCAAAAATTTTAAATTCTTTTATCCATATTTTAGTTCATTGTTAATGATTTTTATTTGTATTTTGCAGCTGTGTACAATGGAATCTTCCATCATCTTGTCGCTTGAATCCTCCTGCTGCTGGAAAATGTTGTCAGACACCTAACTGCCCACCTACCGTACAAATCCAGTACCCTCCAAACTACGTTGAGGAGTAGACTTCTGTTAAATTCGAACAACAGCACTATAAAAACATTTAATTATTATTTTTTACATGTTTATCAGTGGAAGTGCAATTAACGATCGATCGCCATACGAATAATGTGATTGATACACATGTACAATACAATTTATTTTTTTATACATAAATTGAATAAAGTTTCAGACTTGTTTGTCTTGTTTTGGGCTTTTTCCCATAAAATGCAAATTAAAAAAAAACGCTTGTTCTCTAGAACAGGTAAACTTAACAACTTTAGAACAGATAAACTTAACAACTTAACAGATCCTTTTGTATCTTATAGTTTTATTTCAGGGCAAGATGAGATTGATCATGATTGAGTGTATACTGCTTTAAACCGAATTAGCAGTATTTGAGACATACCTTGGCCACTCAGATAAGAGAAAACAGGGCTTCAGAGTTATAGATACATGTAAATTGATATAAAAAAAAAACAATCTATCTGAAAACAAACACCAATAGAATCGAATCTACCCTAGATGTGAATGATTTAATTGAAATGTTCATAAATCAAGGGCACTTGGAAATAATGGGAGAATGAAAGAAAAAGAACAATGTGTAACAAATTTACAAAAATGAGTGCACATACCATGCTTCGTCATGGTTTAGATCAATTGAAATTTGGGAGTTGTTTTTTCCTTTTTTTGCAATTGAGATTTCTTAAATGTCTGTCATCAACATCTGCCGATCTAATACATAAAATACGAAAAAATTGAAGTTGGAGACGGCCGTGTACCTAAATTGAGTCATTTTGAGGTTTTTTTGCTCAAAACTTAAAATGTTTCAAAATAATGACGTCATATTTCAAGAATGGACCTCACTCATGTCATATTCTTTTTGATTGATTATATTCATCTACTCAATTCATATTAAAGCAAATTCTATAAGTTTTCAAGAACATTACATTTGTAGGACACAGTAAAAGTCTAAAACGTCCCTTCTTCTTTATAATTTAATGTATAAACCTTAAACAATTTTATTAGTTTGTACACTTTTACATGTATAAAAGCAACACAGAAACCACAGTAATAAGCCATCCTCCACGATTCTAGACGGTGTGTCGAAATACAAGAACTGTTGAGAAATTGACTTGAGCAGAACATTACAATTTTTAGTTTATTCAGATTGGTCAATTACCAGTGTATTACCTTAAGAGATAGGAGGCAGACGACGAGAATGGAGTGCAAGCCTATTCTCTTCTAAAATATATCAGTCAAAATTAAGAAAATCAAAAAACAGCTTATAGATGCAATATCTACATAATCTTTATTGACATATAACATTGACATAAAATGAATATCAGAACACTAGAGGAAAACAATGTATAGATCCCTTATTTAACAAGAGGCCCATGGGCCACATCGCTCACCTGAGAAGCTTTGGCCATTCTGTTCTTTACCAGATTTCCCCCTTGTAATATATATTGTGACCCCACCCTACCCCACTTATCATAATTTAAACAATTTGAAATCTACACTACCCTAGTATGCTTCCAAATAAGTTTCAGCTTTGATTTTCAGATTTTTTCTATATATTTCTATGTAAGACTTTGATTCCCCGTTGTGGCCCTACCCTACCCCCAGGGGTCATGATTTTTACAATTTAGAATCTGCACTACCCTAGGATGCTTCCACATAAGTTTCAGCTTTTCTGACCCAGAGGTTCTTGAGAAGAAGATTTTCTAAGATTTTTTTCTATATATTTCTATGTAAAACTTTGATTCCCCATTGTGGCCCCGCCCTACCCCCAGGGGTCTTGATTTGAACAATTTAGAATCTACACTACCCCAGGATGCTTCCACAAAAGTTTCAGCTTTTCTGGCCCAGTGGTTCTTGAGAAGAAGATTTTCAAAGATTTTTCCTATATATTTCTATGTAAAACATTGATTCCCCATTGTGGCCCCGCCCTACATCCGGGGATTATGATTTGAACAATTTAGAATCTACATTACCCCAGGATGCTTCCACATAAGTTTCAGCTTTTCTGGCCCAGTGGTTCTTGAGAAGAAGATTTTCAAAGATTTTTCCTATATATTTCTATGTAAAACATTGATTCCCCATTGTGGCCCCGCCCTACCCCCGGGGGTCATGATTTGAAAAATTTAGAATCTACACTACCCAAGGATGCTTCCACATAAGTTTCAGCTTTTCTGGCCCACTGTTTCTGAAGAAGAAGATTTTTTAATGACCCAACCCTATTTTTGTATTTTCTTGATTATCCCCCCTTGCGAGGGAATATGTCCCTTCATTTTAACAATTAAATTCCCCTTTACCCAAGGATGCTTTGTACCAAGTTTGGTCAAAATTGGCCCAGTGGTTCTTGAGAAGAAGTCGAAAATGTGAAAAGTTTACAGACAGACGGACAGACAGACAGACGGACGGACGGACGACGGACAAAATGTGATCAGAAAAGCTCACTTGAGCCTTCGGCTCAGATGAGCTAAAAAGGAAAGGAAGGTCAATGCCCAAAGTGCCAGTGGTGAATCTCTTTAATCTTTTAAACATTGTATAAGGATTATAATATTGGATGTCAAGCACAAACTTCTTTACGTAGATGTTGAGAATTAACAATTACAGGATTACTAATAACAAATCAAAAGCTCTTCAACACTTACTAACTAGTTTTCCCACATCTTATTTTTTCTGTATAAGTTTAGTAATTGTATTGCAATCCATATTTGTTCTGAGTCAGAAAAAGGATATCTTCTTTGTTTCTCTGATGACTTCTGATCTCGGTTTTCTTACATCTAGAACTATTTGTTTCGTATAATTTCCTCGATATGAAAATCTATCGGACTGTTCAAGGAAGTTGGGTGGAACTCTTAGGTTCTTATGAAAATTTCTGATTCTTAATTTGATGAAATTTCCTGGACGTCTTAAATAAACGATACGAACTGGCATAAATACCCTGCGGTTAATGTCAGAAACGCCGTCCAAAGTAAAGGTATTCCGAATCGGAAAATTGTGAAGACGGACGAATTTACGGACATTATTAAGTCTTAAAAGCCTATTTGGAAAAGGTCTTCTAATTCTCCCTCTTTGGGTATTAATATGATACACACTTGGGCCCCAAAGATGTATGAGTGGACTATAAAGTGACGGATATAAACGTTGGCGAAGGAGGTCTCTAGATTTTTCGGCGATGGCCAACCATTTCAGGGTTTCTAACGGCAAAGCTATCGCATTAGGACCAACATTTCGGGTTAAAATTCCTGATCTTAACATATTTCTTGTTTTGAAATTCCGACCAACCGTTCCCAAAATTCTAGGATGGGATGGATTACCAAAGTTTGTCAATGGAAAGTGCAGGCTAAAGCTACCAGGAAAAAAAACTCTTTTGAAACTACGCATTCCCTGCAAGAAACCAACAGGTGCCTCTTTAGAAATGTCTGTTCCATTTCTTTTTATTCTGTTGCCCATCGTGTGATCTTTTATAAAGGACTGAAAGATTGCAATTCCCGCTGTATGATTTTCTCCTGTTGGTCCAGTTATTCCATTTCCTTTTAATGTTCTTGGATCAACAAATGAGGGTTGGAACGACACAACCTCTTCCTCTTCGTCTGGAAATACTGTTCCATCTAAAAACCTCGTTGTAATAATAACTTGAGCTGATGTTTGCTCACCTATGTCGTTGGCAGAAAGTGCGACACATACCCCGCCCTTACACCTTAAAAATTTAGAATTACTACAGTTAGAAGCGCATGATGGCATATCATCGTAATGATAAAATTCTGTTGTAAAAACATCACTGTATCCATCTAAATTTGTATAATTTCTGTAGATGGTCATATTTCTGCTTGGGTCATGAAGCTCAGAAGGTGCAGTAGACATTGGCCAAGGATAATCAGCAGAGGGATCTACACCTTGTTGTCTTATTTTTTGTCTAAATCGCTCCCATATATAGTCAATAAATGTATGATGTAGAATAAATACGGGATCGTTGGCAGTCGCCCTTGCATTTCTCATATCACCTCCAACCCAGACATGAACATTGCCATGCTGGCCTTCAATAGTGTTTTCGAAAAGTTCTCGAAATCCAGTAGAAACTTGCTCGTGACGTGTAACAGTGGGATCTGTTAGAAATCGCCTTATAGCCGGTTTTATCATCAGAGCACCCCCCGTGTGTATGTTTCTGTCCAGAATATTTCCGTCCGACGATTTCCAGCCTGCAAAGGGACCATTAATTACCGGACCAATACCATTACCCACTAAGGCTCTACTGAACATTGCTGTTTCCAGTGGGTTAACCATATCGTGATCCATGGTGGAGTCCCAGTAACAGAGGGACACGGAACCATCAATCCTTTGAAGTTGAAACTCCAGGCTGTAAATCATTTAAAATATAAGATTATATCTCCCTTATGTTCCATTTTGCGTTAGCGAGAACTTAGCAACCGAGAACTTATATACTAGTATGTAATAGTAAACTGGGATCAGCGATTTTTAAAATTCACATTTGTAATATGACAGTGACATAAACTTCATAATCCCGTCCGTCTTTCATTCCTGCTTGTCGGTCGTTTTGTATTATTTTAATAATTTCAAGTTCCTCTAATCTTAATTTCGCTAAAAAAAACTAAATGTAACTTTTATTTTACAACAAAAGCCTTAAAGCTAGGTCAAGAAAGAAGTTCTGATTGAAAATTTTCATCAATGTGTTAGATTTTCTTGAATTCGTTCTCTTCATATCAAAACTTAGGGAATTGATAAATTAAGTGAAGATTGGAATTGTTTTCGAATAATTTGGAAGAAAAAATGGCATTTAAACATTTTAGATCTTGATAGATTATTGAGAATTACTGTATTTTGTGATCTTTCTTCTGAAGGACATATGATTCAACATCATTATGTTTAATATGATATCCGGAGAAAATCTTATGATTTGAATATTTTTGATTTTCATAAATTTAAATGAGAATCTGAATTGTTTTGTATATAACTAAGTAAAATATGAGAGTATCCTTCTCAACTAATATTGCCTGTTGAATTTAATTGATTGTACGTTGTTTAAAAGTCACTCTCGGGAATTTTTTTACTCATATGCAGACTCTGCCACTTGCCGGTGGAGAGCTATAAATTTTAGCCTATACTCGCCACTCAGGACCATTGAGTAGTGAGGGATCTTTTCTGTGCCAGCATCTACTGCCACATGGGACCTCAGTTTATACGGTCCCCTCCGAAGTACCAGTCTCTACGTCCCATAGTGGGATTTGAACATGAGACGTAAGGATCGACTCCTTACTTCGCTACTCTAAAGCAAACGCTCTAACCACTGCGCCATGCGGGCGACTGTTGAACTTGAAGTGTATATATACTCTAAGCCATGGTGTATGTAAATAAGCATACAGAGGTATGTCTTTTATGGGCACAATTTAAACCAATTCATAATAGAATAAGGAAAATTATGCAAATAAAAATGGATGCCTGGATTGGATTTATTTTTGGTCGTATTTTGCAGCCATACCTATTATTATATACATTTTTTGTTACTTGAAGGACAGATGATACAAACAAGTTTTTATGCCCCCGTTAACAAAGTTGATAGTTTTTGCCGTGTCCGTCCGTCTGTTTGTCTCTCTGTCTCTCTGTCATGTGTCTGTTTGTCCGCAAAAACTTTAATCCTTGCCCATAACTTTTAATTTGGTGGAGCTATGACTTTCATATTTCACATGTGTATTCCTTGTGACCTTTCCTTGGGTGCCACCAAATTTGACCAAATTTGACCTATTGAACTTGGAGTTTGACCTAGACTTATAAAAAACATGAATTGATTGTAACTTTTAATTATAAAGGATCCGGGCTCTCTTGCTATCATACTTTTCATATTTAATTCTTGTGACAAGACCTTTCATGTGATATCAAGAATTTTCCCTTTTGACCTTGACGTTTGAGTTTGACCTACTTTTTAAATTTTTTAACCTTGGCCATAACTTTTGAAGGGTTAAGGCTGGGCCCTCCATTCTTCCCATATGTACTCTTTGTGGCAAGACCTTTCATTGGATACCAATTACCTTGACCTTTTGACATTGACTTTGGAGATTTCTGTACTTATGAAAAACTTTAACCTTGGCCTACTTTCATATTTTACAATTGTATTTCCAGAGAAAATACCCTACTTTTGTTGCCAATATATTCAATTTGCATTTAAGAAAAGTTTAATCGAAAGAGGTCACAATGAATTGTTAAGGACTTAGTGAAATATAAATTGCACGTCAACTCCAAGAAAAAAAAATAGGAAACAATATTTGGTTGTGAATTACTGATGCTTCGGTATGGTAGCTCTTTAAAAACGTGAAAGATTCTCAAAAGTTAGTCAAATTTCAAGGACAAAAATTGAAAAAATATTGGTGCCTATAGAAAGTTCTTGTATCAATTAAAGGAATACACCTGTAAGCTATGGAGGCTTTTGCAGCCACAATTCAGAAATTATGGTCAAGATAATATTTTTTTCAAAATGAAGTGTAACTCAAGGATGGGGAGATGTGTAAAATGTTAGTTCCGAAAAGGTCTTATCAAACGAAATGCACAAGCTATGTTAAGAACCCTCTCTACACTGCACACTAAAGAGTTCTGATTCTGAGGTATTTTTCTGCAGTTAAAGTGATCTGCCCTTAGATCTTAATTCTAAAAAAATAGAAATTTACCATATATTACTCTATTTGTAATTAATTTTAGTATTCTGAACATTTTAAAGGGCCAAGATAAATTAACTAAACCTGTTATTTACATGTATGTTCTCTATTGAAGCAATTAACAGTGATTTCTATTCAGTGATACTGTGTTGTCTTTGAACATTTTTCCCGGGGGTATATGCCACGCAGCATATTGTGAAAACTAAATAAATAAGCTCACTATAAACTCCTTTATACCATATATTTTTCTCAATGTCCAAAAAAAATTTTGCACTTGTATAGAGAGGGTCCTTAAGTATGAAACCCGAGTCACCAATCCAGCAAAAGCAACGGTTAAGTGTGAAACAAAAAAGTTATTAAAAGTCTTGTTCAAAGGAAAGAGGTCAAATATGTGGCTACTCAAACGAAGGTTTGCGAAGATACACATATGAAATATAAAAGCCTTAGTTCCAACCAATCAAAAGTGATACATGTGTAAGGTTAATTTTTTGGCGGACAGAAAGACAAACAGACAAAGCAAAAAAAAACTATATGTTCCCGAAATTCCGATTACGGAGGCTTAAAAACGGAATACCTGGCATTAGAGTAAAGCACATATGCAAGTATTTTTTTAGTATTTGTTTTGATATTAATTAATTAAAAATTAAAAACCCTTTAGGTATGTCACTCGTCAGCTTTTTAGAAAAGTTTACGCAGAAGATTTTACTTCAGACCTACTTATTAAAATTCGATTTTTGTAACATATTTAAATTCAACAAAGTAAATTTTTTAACATTCAACGAAAAAACTGCTCAAAAATCTACAATAAGCAAGATTTGTGAGGGACTATTTCTTTTGGTGGAAGGATATATAGCAGAAAATTCTGCAAATCGGCATATTTATAAAATTTAATGTAATGGAAATTTAGCCTCCCATAATTTTACTCGGAGAATATTTTCCGTTTTGATATTGCTAAATATATTTAATATAGGTCTTAATTTATATTCTTAGACTAAGGTTTACACCTTCCCTCAACAAACTTTTCCAAAAAATGAAAAAGATATGAAAGAAGTCAAGATCAAATTTATATCATTTTTTGCCTGAAAATCACATATTTTGACAAATATTTCAAAATTAACATCACTGACCCCACCTTTTTCTTTCATTATTTTAAACTACTCGATATTTGTGATTGATCAGCACTTAAGTCATAAAAAGTTTGATATAAGAATTTTTTTATTGCCTATTAAGTGTTTTAAAACCCAAATATGTTATTTTTTAGTGCAAAAAGGTCACACAATAATTTACGCGCATTAATTTGCAAGATTTGTTTAATGATAAATATTATTCAAACTATTTTACGTAAAATAACATTATATTTATTGCCATGCTTACATCTGATAAAATATAATAAGGGTTAAAGAAATTAACCAAAGAGATGAAATTTAAGTGCAAAAAGGTCAACTTAAATGTACCGTAGATCAGTAGAATGCACACTGACCCCTATTTTCTTTGCGATTTTGAGTTACACTTTATGAGTACTTATCCAAAATATACTTCTCAAAAATCCTTGATTTAACAAATTTCAGGAGTGACTTGCCTTAATTGCAATTTATATACTAGTAGTTTAAGATCACTCCAAAGGAAAAATATAAAAACTTACAAAAGTAGGTATACTCTGTGGAAACCTAGAAAGGCAGGTCCAAAATGTGCGGAACTTAAAACCATTTCGTGGATATCAGCCCATTTATCGTAAAACTGAAATCAAAATGGAAATCTTTCGTTTTTGACATAGACTATCTATTAATACATTGTTTTACTAAAAGCTTAATGACTTTGTTAATTTTGTAATAATGCAATTTGTTTTACCTTATCTTTTTCATTTTTCAACTTTATTAGGGCATCAAAAAATCGTTTCCTTTGTGCATCATCCAAAACTCGCAGTTCTCGCCGGAAGGCGCGTTGTGCATGTCGTTTGTGACGCCTTTTATTTTGAAGCCTTTGTTGGTATTCTCTGTAAAAGGATCGAATATAGTTGACCTGGGTCTCGGTCAAATTTAGCTGATGTCTTAGATTTGGGCTCTGCCAGATATAGCTACCTAGACAGTAACTTTGTATGCTATGGTCCTGGATGTCGGTTACAGGAAGTCCTCTGGTGAATTGTTCATAGCAGTGCTTCAACAGATTTGGCATATCTGTTTCCATCGCAATGGTATTTGTTTGATTGACAATCAAAAGTACCAAAATGGTAGAAAGAAAATGTAATTGTGTCATCTGAAAGGAATTTTGAATTACTTTAAATAAATTATTATCGTTAAACACACACTTACCTTTACCCTCACACATATACCTTTACGCACTTTCTCAAAGCGCTCCTAATACGCATACACCCCCCCCCTCTCTCTCTCAAACACACCCTTATACACACATACACCCTCTCCTTCCCTTACATACACACAATACATATAAAGAAAACAAGTCAATCAGAAAGTAAAACAAAAAAGGAACAAACACACTTAACAACGGCTAACTAATTATTCATGTTTAACATTCAAATTTTAAATGCATAAAAAATTATTCTTAATCATTATACAAATATTCATCTATATACAAGAAATAATGAAAACGGAGCGACATACGAAAGTCATTGACTAATTCTAATATATTTCAAATCATTTTATTAAGGTTGAAATTATAAATGAATTATGCTTGTCAAGGCTTGATGTAAATATTTTTTAGGGGTTAAATTTTATTGAAATGAATATGAGATAATCTCATTTAATTGTTTGAATAGCATTAAACAATAAGACACAACTTGGTACAAGTTATCTAGTTCATGGGAAAGTCAGCTTCAGGATGAGTTAACAAGTATAGCAACTTCCTCTTCCTCTTCAACATCTCAGTGAGTTTGGTCATTAGTAAAAGTTACAAACAAAAAATCCAGTCCAATCCTAACCATCATGCCACCGAAAAGGAAGAGGGATATCAGAGGGGAGATGGTGTCGCCATCCAGGGGCAGAGGGCACAAAAAGCCTCGCCATGCTCCCAGGCAGCAAAGGTCTGGAGCCAGGAATGATCATCCCCCCCACCATGCCGAACCAGAGACTGCAGGGAGTGATGCTTCACCCGACAGTGACTTGGGGGAATTCGCACCACCAATCATTGGTAATGTTGATTCAGATTTCTACCTAGATGTATATCTTTCTGATTTCACTCCTGTCCCAGAACTTAGCTGTTTTGATAATGTAGGTCAACACATCCCTTTGAAGTTAAAACAAAAAATTTGGGATGGACAGTTTATCGAGTTAGGTCTGCTGTTAAAATCAGCCAAAGAGATTAATGATAGTTTGGGAGGACAAGGGGAAATTAAAATTAGAGATGGGAAATTTTGTATTGTCCGGTCAAAGGTTGGTTCATATTTGACAATCGAAAAATGGACAAACGCTTTTATGATTTACATGAGTGTTATGTTAGAGAAATATCGCACAAGAGCCCAACAGTTTTTAAAATACATGAGAGATATCAGACTAGCTGCATCTAGATCACAGGGCTGGTTCAAATACGATGAACAATATCGGCTACGCAAAGCTAGCAATCCCGAATCCTCCTGGGGGGTTATAAGTCAAGGATTTTGGCTACTGTATGTGACCAACCAAAGTTCAAACTCTTTTGGCAGTCAAAATCATTTCAACAATACTAAACAAAATTTAGATGAGAGCAGCACATCCGCTGCTACCCAGTATTGCTATCATTTCAATCAGGGTAAAAAGTGCAATTTCTTCCCCAGATGCAGATTCAAGCACGTCTGTAGGAGGTGCGGAGGCAAACACCCGGCCACAACCTGTTCCACCAAGTCAGCTGTATAAACTGGGCAAGACCCCCATTAAACTACATAAAAATTTTTTACATACACAAAATTATTCTGATCATCAATTTTTAAGGGAAGGTTTTCAACATGATTTTAAATTACAGTATTTTGGCCCTAGATCACCCAGGTTTTCTAAGAATCTTACAAGTTTAGACAAACAATATCCAGTTGCAGAGCAAATGATTTACGAAGAAGTCTCATTGGGGAGGGTTGCGGGCCCCTTCATAGAACCACCTTTTCCAACTTTACAAGTTTCTCCTTTAGGTCTTGTGCCTAATTCACCATTTATCATATCCAGAATCTGCTTCAATAAATGATTTCATTGACCCAGAACAGAGCTCGGTAACCTATTCAACCATAGATGATGCTGCCGCCATTATTGCAAAATTAGGTCGGGGGGCATTTCTGGCAAAGTCGGACATTAAATCAGCCTTTAGGTTGCTACCAGTGAACAGCACTGATTTCGACTTGTTAGGTTTTCACTTCAATGATGGTTTTTATTACGACAAGATGCTACCTTTCGGTTGCAAAATAAGTTGTGCAATTTGGGACAGATTTGCTTGCTTTCTGCATTGGCTTATACAGGATTGCTAAAAAAATGCCTCAATCCTGCATTATCTAGATGACCTTCTTTTCTGTGGCAAAGAACTTTCCATTTGCAAAAATACGTTAGACACTTTTCTTTATCTGTGCAACGATCTGGGGGTCCCTATTGCAAAAGACAAAACAGTATATCCAATGCAGGTTCTTACGTTCTTGGGCATTGAGTTTGATACGATGGAAATGATCATGAGGTTACCGTTGAAACCAAACAAAAGGTTCTCGACATTATGGCACTTAAGAAAGTTACTCTTAAGCAACTCTAGTCTTTATTGGGTTTGTTAAATTTTGCATGTAGAGTTATAGCTCCAGGTAGGGCTTTCTGTAGACGTTTGATTGATGCAACAATTGGCCTTAACAAACCTCATCACCATACCCGTGTAACGTTAGAAATGAAAGCAGACCTCAAAGTCTGGCTTGACTTCCTCCAATCATTTAATGGCATTTCAGTCATTACAGAAGGTATATGGGTGAATAATGAGACTCTACAACTCTACACTGATAGCGCAGGGGGAGATAAGGGGGGCTTTGGTATATATTTTGCAGGCAAGTGGACATATGCTCAATGGCCCATTTCCTGGTTTGTACAAGGCATAACCCGTGACATGACCTTTTTAGAGCTTTTCCCGGTCCATATAGCTATTGAATTGTGGAAACATCAATTTTCCAACAATAGAATTTTGTTTTACATTGACAATATGGCGGTGGTACATGTCATAAACTCGACAACATCAAAGTCACAAAGGGTCATGAAAATTGTAAGAAAACTAGTTCTCACTTGTCTCAAACACAATATTTTGATTAAAGCAAAACACATACCTTCAAAATCAAATTTTATTGCGGATTCTATCTCTCGTTCACAGTGGGGCAAATTCCGACGGCTAGCACCGGCAGCAGATCCATGGCCAACACCGCTTCCCAAGAATATGTGGGAAATTTAACAAGGGAGGCAAACAGACTTATACAGGGTTCACTATCAGCAAACACATACAAAGCTTACCAGGGGGCTCTCACCAACTTCAAAAAATTCCTGAATAATTGTGGGACCACATTGTATTTCCCCATTCCTGTTGATCATTTGCTTAATTTCATTGCCCACCTTTCTATTTCAGGTACAGCTTATAGAACAGCTGCACTGTACATTAGCGCATTATCATATATCCATAAATTAAGAGGCATACAAGATAACACTCAATCATTCATTGTCAAAAAAGCCTTGCAGGGTCTCCACAAAAAGAGAGGTATCACTTTAGATTCTCGAATCCCATTAACTATATCCATCTTGGAGCATGTAGTATCAGCATTGCCATCAGTGTGTAGGTCATCTTACGAGGCAGTTTATTTTCCACACTTTTCTCAATTGCATATCACGGCTTGCTTAGAGTAAGTGAAGTTTTGAATATCCATAGGGCACACATCATGTTTACTAGAAGCAAGGTCAGCATCTTAATTCCCAGGTCCAAAACTGACAAAATGGGAAATACAACAACATTGCATATTTCCAAACAGTTAAATTCGGATATTTGCCCAGTCCCTTTTGTGCTTTATTCATGTCGACAATAAGGGTGTAACAAGATACCAATTCAACTACGTGCTTCAAAAAGCACTTCAATTCAGGAACATTCAAGGACACTTTAGACCACATAGCTTTAGAATAGGCAGGGCTACAGATCTTGCAAAACAGGGGTTTCCAGATTCAGAAATAAAATCTTTGGGCCGGTGGGAGTCAAAAGCTTTCAGAAACTACATAAGATTATAACATGTTAGCATTGTTAAATGGAATACAGGCTAATTTTGCCAAAGTATTCCAGGTTTCAAGACGATTTGGATAGTGGGATCTTCAATACCTTATTGGGCTGGTGAGGAGGCAGGGAGGAGACCGGGTGGAAAGAACCTTAATCTTGGGATGGACATCACTTGGAAGGGAATTAGAGGGCTGAAATGGGAAGATCTTGACAAAGTGTTAACAGATGAACTCAAACATCAACCACACCCAGATGTACTAGTCATTCACGCAGGGTCAAATGATCTAACAACGTCTGGCAATACTGCACTTAGATTTTCACATGAAATTCAATGTAGTTTGTATCGTTATAATGTATTGCTTCCTAAGACTTTGCTCATTTGGTCAACAATGCTTCCCCGTCTTTATTGGCATGGTGCACCTCTTGGCAAGGGTGGGGCTAAGATTGATTTAAAACGGCGTAAGGTGAATAAGGCCATTAGAAAATTCATTACATCCGAAGTTAATGGGGCTTGCATTTTTCATGACAAAAATATCAATGTTCATCAAAGCAGTTTATTTAGATATGATGGAACTCATTTATCTGAAAGGGGGAATGAGGTTTATTTGAATAATATCCAGGGTGGTTTGGAATTCATTTTAGGGGGAAAGGGCAAAATTTTCCCTCCTCAGTAATGCCCTTTGTTTATCTAGTCAGATTTCAGTTGACCTGTAATTTCCTAGTTTAGGATTGCTATATATATAAATATTAATTTTGGTGCAAATTGTTGTGGGGAACATCATATCGATGTTAGTGGCGGGGTCAAGGGAGACATCAGCCTTGTACATGCTTAATCTGTTTGTCTCTGCCCATCTGCATCAAAGCATGAGGGGGGTCTCATGGCTGTGTTTTAACATGGAAGTTATATGCCATTGAGGAAATGTGTAGAATAAATGTAAATTGCTTGGGATCTGCAGCATTTCAGTGCTCAGACCCCCTCTACCTATATAAAAGTAGGAGAGGCTACAGGCTGGTTGGTGTTAAAATTCTAAACCAGGTAGCAAGCCAGAGGCAGGGTGTAAAAGCTGTGCAGCTTGTGTGCCTAGCCATCATGCGTGTGTCAGGCATGGGGTTCCATGGCACTCGCATCTAAGCGAGGCCACTAGTTTGCCCGTTTGTTTATGGTATCCTAGTTGTCTCCCTTGACTCCTACAAAATTTGAGGCCATTTCCATCCAACATTGTGTGTGTTGTATTATTATGATCTTGTTTCTCAATAAATTAGTAAAGTTATAATTGGCGTTTTCAATTCTCAGAGCTGTCTGGAAGACAGTTTCAGTATAATGGTGGAAAGGCAGAGAAAGCAAAAGCAAAATATCATGGGCAACTATCAATTTATTATACCCGCACTTTCTAAAGAAAGTTCGGGTATATTGTTGTTACTCATGTCCGTCCGTCCGTCCGTCTGTCTGTCACACTTTTCTTCCCTGAACTCCTCCTACATTTTACACAGTAGCTTAATCATCTTTTGGGAGATGGTTGGTGGAGTCATGTAGATGTGCAGTAAGGTTTCAGAATTTTGATTTTGCCCCGGGGGGTCAAATGGGGGTCGAAAAATGGCGTTTTTTATGCAAAAAGTCCCGTCTTCCCTGAACTCCTTCTACATTTTACTCAGCAGCCTAATCACCTTTTGGGGGATGATTGGTGGTGTCATGTAGATGTGCAGTAAGGTTTCGGAATTTTGATTTTGCCCCAGGGGGTCAAATGGGGGTCGAAAAATGATGTTTTTTATGCAAAAAGTCACGTCTTCCCTGAACTTCTTCTACATTTTACTCAGCAGCCTAATCACCTTTTGGGGGACGGTTGGTGGTGTCATGTAGATGTGCAGTAAGGTTTCGGAATTTTGATTTTGCCCCGGGGGGTCAAATGGGGGTCGTAAAATGTAGTTTTTTAATGCAAAAAGCCCCGTCTTCCCTGAACTCCTTCTACATTTTACTCAGCAGCCTAATCACCTTTTGGGAGATGGTTGGTGTTGTCATGTAGATGTGCAGTAAGGTTTTGGAATTTTGATTTTGCCCCGAGAGGTCAAATGGGGGTCGAAAAATGATGTTTTTTTATGCAAAAAGCCCCGTCTTCCCTGAGTTCCTTCTACATTTTACTCAGCAGCCTAATCACCTTTTGGGGGATGATTGGTGGTGTCATGTAGATGTGAAATAAGGTTTCGGAATTTTGATTTTGCCCCAGGGGGTCAAATGGGGGTCGAAAATGATGTTTTTTATGCAAAAAGCCCCGTCTTCCTTAAACTCCTTCTACATTTTACACAGTAACCTTATCATCTTTTGGGAGATGGTTGGTGGTGTCAGGTAGATGTGCAGTAAGGTTTCGGAATTCAGATTTTGCCCTGGGGGGTCAAATGGGGGTAGCAAAATGACGTTTTTATGCAAAAAGCCCCGTCTTTCCTGGACTCCTCTTATATTTTACTCAGCAGCCTAATCATCTTTTGGGAGATGGTTATGGGGTCATGTAGATGTGCAGTAAGATTTCGGAATTTTGATTTTGATTTTGCCCCAGGGGGTCAAATGGGGGTCAAAAATGACATTTTTTATGCAAAAAGCCCCGTCTTTCCTGAACTTCTCCTACATTTTACACAGTAGCCTAATCATCTTTTGGGAGATGGTTGGTGGTGTCATGTAGATGTGCAGTAAGGTTTCGTAATTTTGATTTTTCCCCGGGGGGTCAAATTGGGGTGGAAAAATGACGTTTTTTGTGCAAAAAGTCCTGTCTTTCCTGAAGTCCTCCTTAATGTTACTCAGAAGCCTAATCATCTTTTAGAAGAGTTAAATATTTTGAAAATTATGTAAAACATCAACGTCAAGGGGTGAAAAAGCATCGCATGCTGGGAGACACATTGAATTCTTATGAGTAATTAATGTACATGTCAAATGTGAGTCATATCTCATCTCAATCAAAAGTTATAAGCAAATGCAACGTTTTTGAAAAGTATGTTAGGCATCAAGGTCAAGGTCACAGAGTAAAAGTCATGATTCATTTGGAAAGGTCTTATCACAGGTAATAATATACATGCATTATAATATGAATGCCCTAACTTTTCTCTTTCAAAATGATGAATTTATAACAATTTAATTTTTTTGCAAGTAGGTCAAACTTCTAAGCCATATGTAAAAAAAAAATCTCATGCCATTCTCACAGGTAAATACTAGTACATAAGTTTAATGTGAATGCCTTGTCTCTTCTCATTCAGTAGATATGACCGTGATGACCAAGGTTAAATCTATTGAGACAGATGGACAGTCTGACATACAAATGTACATATTTCTATATGAATTGGGAAAATATGGCCCAGTGGTTCTAGAGAAGTTAAAAATGTAAAAGGTTTTTAGACAAACAGATGGACAACACGTCACGACAGACGTTATATGATAAGGAAACCAGAAATTAAAGCTCAAATGAGTGTTTTGAAAGGGTTACAATATGGTTCCAGTATTTGAAAAGCTGTTTTTCTCATGCAGAGATATGCATGACCAACATATTCATGTTTTATATTTTCTTTAGTAATTTGTTTGTTTGTTGTGGATACATCTCTCTCAGGAATTTTTCCCTCATATGGAGACACCACTAAATAATAATGAAGACAAGATGTGTTTGTGAAACACTGATGTCCCTGTATGGAAGCTTATGGCGAAGGTTGAAGTTTCTCAAATATATGTCAAACTCAAAGGTCAAGGTCAAAGGGTTCAAATTGTTGGTATCAGAAGAAAGTCTTCTTGTCACAAGGAATGCACATTTGAAATAAGTAATCCCTAGTACTTCCTGTACAAAAGTTAATTGCCAAGGTTAATTTTTTTTAAGTGGTTCAAACTCTAGGGTCAAGGTCAAACATATTTATACCTGTTGACAGTTCACAATGAATACACATATTAAGCATGAAAGCCCTAGCACCTACTGATCAAAATCTATGCCAAGTTTAAAGTTTGGCATTTTTCTTGTAAAAATGTGTATCCTAGGTCAAGCGATCAGAGGTAAAAATTAATGGTACCCAAATAAAAGGTCTTAATTGTCACAAGAAATAAACCTATAAAATGTGGAAGCCATTTGTATAGCCCATCCCACTTAAAACTTATGGGCAAGGTAATAATTTCTGCAGACAAATAGACAGACATAATATAAACGCAAGAAACAAAATATGTATAATTAGTCAAATGGAAAAAATATACTATTTAATTGGAATCACAAAATAGATTGTTATTTCAGGGACAGGGAGTGGGTAGGGAGATTGGACCCCCCCCCCCCCCTGGAATTAGCTTTGTTATTTAAACAAGACTATATACTGAAGCAAATAAAAAATGACTTTGGACATCCTCCCCCTAACTTAGAAAACATTGACCCCACTATCATTTTTTTATTTTGTTTATTTGTTTTCAGTTTTTTTTCTCCTGCTTATCAGGAAATTCTGGGCTGGAATTTTTTGACTGAGATATGAACCCCCCTCCCTACTCCCGAAAAAAGTTCTGGATCCGCACCAGTATTGACAGTAACTTCACAATATGAAATTCTTCTAGTGTGGCATGCGATGATCTTTGACCCTTTTTGAACTTTAACCTAATCGTTTGGATTTATTTCACCCCACTATGCTTAAACGTGAACTTACCGACCTCCATAGGTCTTGTCAACTTCATGAAGTAATAGTATAATCCAATTATAACACAAAATGAATTAATCCAATGCACACCAGACTGCAGCATGTGTGCTAATGCTATTCCATTCGGCAAACCTTCGCGCCGTCGATTCCGTCACCTTATCAGATGAAGTGGGAATCGGCCGAGGTGTGCCGAATGAGTTTAATCTAAAAATATGATAGTGGGTGACGCAACGTGATGTGATGTAGAAATTTACATGTTAACATGTATAGTACAAATTTTAAATTAATTCATAACAAATGTTTTAACAAAACTGTTCCATCTAGCCTATTCCAAAAAGTATGTGCAGTGTGATTGTGGTGTCGAGGGGTGGGGGATTAGTAAATTTAAAAAGGTCCTATTATGAGCAAAACATTTATTAAAATCTAATTTACAACATTAATAGAATTCAAACTGGTATATAATGAATTAAGCATGTAAAATAAATATAAGAGTTTTGAGTTATGGTCACAGGGAGAATTTCATACTCAATTTGATGAATACATATAGAATTTATTATTTTGACTTTTTCCTTGGAAAGCCGCCCAATATGTAGGAGCGTGTATTTAGAGGCAAACACCTTAGTGCGGTTATTACTGTCTCATGACAGCATCTAGTTGTCAATACCTTTACTTAAAAAAAGATTTTGAAAATTCAACATGCACATTGAAGTGATTTATAACCTACCTAACGACCAAATTTCCTTATCCTGAGTCGGGAATGGAAAACAGACATTATTTTAAATCAAAATACTATTAAATCAGAGCCTGTTATAAATAAACTTTTAAAAAAGGCAATTGTTATCAAAGAAAAACTGCTTAAAAATGGAAAAAAAAATCAATTCATGTATAATTAAATATTGTTGAGTAATTTCTAGAAAATATATTTTCCTGGTGTATTACATTATACGGAAAAATGCTTCTCTACGTAGGAGATATCATTTAAATAAAAACGGGGAAGGAAAAGGGGGTGGAAAGAAAATAAAATAAAATGCAATAACAAACAGCTATTCAAGCTCAAAAGTCCATTAAGCAGTACAAAATAGGAGCAGACAAAAAAGGACCTCCGAAACAGGGATCAGGTGACTTTAGCTTTTCAATCGTCAACTTCCCTTAATTATCCAGCAATATACCTTCATAACCTGCATACGGTGTTTATAACTCTCATTCGATTTGATATGACAGTGTATGCTCTACGTATGTACAATTTCTAAAACAATGTAAATTATTGACAAACAAGTTGATGAACTAGAATATTAATATTTCGTTTAAATTCAACATTTCTTAAGTTCTATTGTCGATACAATATCCTTGTCAGCAAATACAATTTATCACTCAAATGCTTTAAAATTTGAATTGAATTTCCTTCAAACAACTTAACGTAAAAATGAGTCAGTTCAATATTTTCAGTTATAGGATCTTTAAGGCTTCGTTACAACGATATATCCGTAAATTCATATTAACATAAGTCATTCTACATATAGGCCTATATTATTACCATATATTAGTATCTCCTGCTCTGTTCTCACTATTCTTCTGGGACCGGGCCATGAAGAAACGAACTTATAACTTCATGTCAGAAATAATCCACATAGGTTTTTTTGGTTTTATGGAGAAGAGTTATTAGACCCCCCTCCCGCCCAAAAGTTCACCCTTTCTTAATAATATTCTCCTGAAAGAGGATTTAAACAACTTTGAAAACCTTTTACCAAGGGATAATCTGTGGCAAGGTTGGTGGTATATATAGAATAGTTTAAAACATTTTTTTAATAAATACAGAACAGACAGTGAGATGGATAGACAGACAAACCGACTCTGGATAAAATATTACTAGCTTTCAGCTAAGAGAAAAAATATAATCTTTGTCTTTCGCTTACTGACTATTGTATTTAGTTCATTTTTTACAAAAAATAATAATAATGCAAATATAAACAATATTGTTTATTTTACAATTGCACAATTTGTGAAATTTCTAATTAAATAAACTGATATGAAACTTACCTCTAAAGAAACGTTCTATACGTCTGTTGTGTGCAATGAACTATCAGAACATGTCTTTTATATACTTAACAGAAAATTTCCAACTTCAAATTATATTACCAGGACTTTCCATTTTGTTTTAATTGATTGAGTTGCATTTTGTTTTAATTAAATCTGGGAAAATGCTTGTAATTTTCCACTTATTGTTTTTATAAATATTTTTGTTATTCGATATTTTTCTCCAGTTTAATTCAAAGACGTGTTATTTTTGTTTCATACGAAATTTATATACACATGTACATGTACATGCAGTAAAGAAAATTGAGAAATTGTCGAGCATTAATTCAAATAAAAAGAAAGAATGCGTTACTGCTACCAGCACTTTTTTCAATTTCATACTTATTTTTCTCCACTTTAATCCAATGATGTAATTTTTGCTTCATACAGAATATATACATGTACATGCACTAAAGAGAAATGAGAAATTGTCGAGTATTAATTTAAATAAAAAGAAAGTATACACTACTAGCATTTTTATTCTATTTCATACCAATTGATAGTATTTTATACAAAATATAACGACAGATTACTTATTTAAGTAATCAATACATAGGGCTCACGGAATGTGTGACTGGTGACAGGTGAAACTTATTTTCCTTATGCACCTGAATCCATCCCTTGATTTTCTGATGGTCTTTATTTAATACCCTATTTATAAATTTAGATGGATTGTCTATTTAGGTTTTTTTTTGAAAAGGAAGAAAAGCTGCTCTTGTCACTTTTCACTGGTTGAATTTTTTGTTAAGGTCATTTCAGGGTCACTAAATTGCTCTTAGTGATTATCTCAAATGAATGCTTTGTAAATAACAGGTTTGTTGTCTTATCCATCTAGTCTTTAGATAAAAAGGAGTCTGGCATATTTATGAAAGAATCCTTTTTCATTATTTTCTTAACTTGGCAAACTAAGAAAAAAAGATTGGCATCATCAAACTGACATACGTTAAATGGACGATTAAACAGAATTGTATTCAATATTAAAGATATCTGTCATTCACTCCATCATTTCTTTTTAAATTGCGTCGCCCACTTGACGCAGTGGTAAATGCGTCTGCTCTAGGGTCGTGAAGTAAGGCGTTGATCAGGTTTGTTCCCACTTAGCCAATATTTTGAAAAATCTTATTCCCACATACCCAGTAGTTTGATTTTCACTCCTAAGTGATCGACAGGATATAGTCTGTTTTCAGGTATATATGGATAACCTTAGAATGACTACCACTGAAAAAAGAGTAAAATATATTAACCAAAATTAAAATTTTAATAAAATTAATAAATCATAAATTAATTTTTATTTAAAGTTCCAGAATTTTTTTTTTGTGGTAAATATAGTAAAATAAACAAACATCTGCATTTAAAAAATAATAAATTAAATATTGATAAAAGTTATAATATCTAATATTAAAAGAAATGATGTTTTTATGCTCTTTAATAAAATTAACATTTGAGATTAGAAATATTCATCTGAGTATGTAATATTTGGTCATGGTATTTGCATGAACACAGTAATAGAAGCTTATAAAAAGTAATTTATTTTCTGATGAAGAAATAACTTACATATTCATTCCATACTTGATGTTCACAACCCTGCTTATTAATTAATTACAAGGGTTGTTCAATAAAAAAAAATGCCCTCGGTGCTCGGAAAAAAAGCAAAAGACAATTCAGTTTTAGAACTCATTTTTGACTATTGCGCTTATGGCAGATCCTATGATCTCCTGGACTTGTTTCTTCTTTCTGAAAGGTGTTGTTTTTTTTTCAAGTTTAGAAAATGAACCAAGTCAAAGGGTGACAAATCTGGTGAATATTATTGTGTGACAAAACCTTACTTTTCTGTTTATCCTGAAAACACCTTTACTCTTCATGGCGTGTGGGTTTGGAAGCTGTCACAAAGAAATTTTTTGTAGTGGATTTCTGATTCTAGTTCCTTCCTCTCAAAAACCTTTAGATTTTTGTCAAACAATTTGCATTCTAAACTCCTCCAGAAATTAACTGCCTTCCCGAATAAGAATTTGAACAAAATGACCAAAAATATATAAGAAAATGGCATATAAAACTTTTTGTCCTTTTGTAATGCTTTGCTCTTTTCAGACCTTAGCCGTTTTTTGTCAAGTGCATCTTATTGTAAAAATGTTTTGAGGGTAATAAAACAATGGATTTAAGTTTCATTATCTGTTTGCATTTCAAACAAACGTGAATAACTACAATTTCTGGGTTTTTTAAATAACTGTTTAGATATCCTTTCACGGTGTCGTTTTCACTCATTTTTCAAAACATAGGATGACCATTGAGTACGTAGCTTTATCACTGTCAAATGATTCTTTGAAATAAAGTGAACTATCCCCAAATTAAAAGCCATTAAATTTGCTATGTGTTTTAAAGTCAATCGAACATCATAAGTGATAATTTGTTGAATTTTGTTGAATTTTGGCAAACAGAACATTGGTTGTTTTAAGTCCTTGTCGCCATGGACGGAATCCATTTTTGATGCCCAATATATCATTTTTGTTCTTTAAAATTTACCTGCTCATATGTCTATAAAACAGGCATGTGGTTGCTGTAAAGTCCATAAATTTCAGTGAATATTTCTTTTGGAATCTTATCAAGTTTTCCAGGAGCCTAAATGAAGCGTTTAATTTCACTCTAGTTTACTGATTCTTGACCATTTATTTCTAATGCAGTGTCTTAAAAACCTTGTTTTTCAGCTTCTCACAATGTAAATATGAGATGAAAGTTGTTCACATATAAAGATATCACAATTTAATTTGGAAACGGAATTTTCTCCGACTCGGAAGAAAATACAAAAGATTTAAATAACACATTACAGAGAAGACAAAATCGTATTATTAGTTGAAACGAGGTGTTCTCCGTGTTCAGAATTGTATGAAAAGTTTTAATTTAAATGTATTAACTATATTTCTTAACTTAATTTTGTATTTTTCAATTTGTATAGTTTTATTCTACCATTGAAAATGTCCAAAAATTATTTACTTTCACAAAAAATCAATGTTTGCACATTAAAGAAGGCATGTTGCATCATATTCTGTGTTTTTCATTTTGAATACTTATATTTTAGGCTTGATTAAAGCTGTGCTATTACATGTTTTATCAATTTTAAAAAAATAAGAGAGGAAAGACCATTAATACTTCAAAAACATATATTATATTGAATGAATTATGCAATTCTATTTTATAAGAAACATATTTAAAGCTTAAGTATAATTATGGCAAATCTGAGCTGAAATATGAAAAGAGATTGAGTGTAGATATACATATGTACATGATAAATGTTATTTGCGTTCAAATTTAAATTTTCACCAATTTTGAACTTAAAATTTTCTCCATAGTTTAAATGACTTAAATTTTTTTAACTTCATTTTTTTCTGTTCTTGATTCTTCTCACAGAAAACTGTATTTCTTGTATTTAAAAATTAATGAAATTTTCACAGAATAACCAAGAAGACAATATTACTAAGTGATGGTGTTAGTTAAATTAGTTTCCCTGGGCATTAAAAATAAAAATAACTCTACCCAATCATCTGATAGGGTCTTCTATTTCAGAAGATTAAATGTTTTTTTTTTTCATAAAAAGATATTAGTATATAGGATCCATAAGATGACATTACCAAATTGACACAATTAGTTTAACAAAAATAAATTTTGTCTTATCCGAATTTTCTCTATTTTTCTCAATTTTTTAGGTTATTTAAGTAATCTTTATATGTGCCCTATCTTTAAATTTTCTTTATTTTTACAAATGGTAAACAAGTTATATAAAGATACAAAATGATACAAAAACAAAAAGTTTTGACCGTTTACTTAGAGAGAAAAAACAGTTTCTATGGATTTTTTTGGCTCATATTTACACTAAGATTGAAAGCATTTAAAAGCTAATATAGTTGTAGTTTGTTTGGAAAATCATAATTATTTGATATATTTTAAAACTTTAGTCCCTTTTTATTAATTTAGCAAACATTTGAAAAATTCTTGAAGTCTTTGATTGTGAAAAATTATAACTAAATTCGTTGTTCTATAATACATTTGAGAAAAGAAAAGAAGATATTTTCATATGCCACCATTTCGCCAAAATATAGTCCCTGCTAGTTTTCGAACACAATTTGCCATTTCTATTTAAAGTTGTAAAATTGTGATGAGGGAAGAAAAAATATGGTCTTTTAAATCTCTTTCACCTAAATATATGAGACATATAAGCAAATATACATTGAATATTTTATCTACTCTGAAACCAGAGAAGAATCCTACCTTAAGGGCGCCGACTATAGTTTCCATTGCGCAATATTTCGTGCATCATAGTTAAATGAAGCATATTTACTGTTTTAATGCAACTTTTTTCGCTTAATTATTAAAATTAAACAAAATTAAGAAATAACAGGTATAAAAATGTAATTACAATTTGATATAACTGATTTTTTAACCGATTTTACAAATGATAGGTAGGTTGACGTCGTTGCAGTGTGTTTTTGAAGCTATGATAATCTGTAGCTCTTAAAGAAAGGGGTAATAAAAATATTATTCAAGAAAAAGTAATAAAACATACGCTCTTGAAATTTAAAACATAGAAATTTAAGAATATCTCTAATATCTTTATTATGTTTTCATGTGAATCCATTGTGTACGTCATATTTTGTAATACTCTATAAAAATAGTAAAATTTGCTAATTTTTTGCATTTTGAGATGCCCCCTCTGGTAACAAGACGGTAGAATTTTGTGTTTATTGCATATATTGTATAATATAGTATTACTCATCAAATGTTATAGTTTGAACAAAATTTCTATTGTAGTATTTGTATAATTTGCTTTCAAGTGCTAAAAATTGGCATTTTCCTTATAATCCTATAGCAAATGTACCTGTATTTTGAGACCGTCCCTTAAAAATACCTGGGCGATAGATTTTCCCCAAACTTTGCATGTACACTGAAGTTAATGTAAGTTGTATATGGTATAAAAATGAA